ACCTGTTGAAAATTAATAAAGAGTATATAAAAGGCAGTATCTAGAGGCGAGCTACCAAAGAATAGGTAATTTATTTATTTATTTCAAATGGCAGGCGTTATGATAGGTATCATCAAAGTGGCAAAGAGTCGAGAGGGGGACAGAACAATGTTTCACAGATGTAAAAGAGATAGACAGACAGACACAAAGGTAGAGAAAAGGTAAGGTGAGTACTGTGGAATTATTCGAATATGAAATGCAGTGGGGTCATGGTAGTTTGAAGTCAGAAGTCAACTGCCGGTTAATAGACTTTTTTGCCGTATGAGTATACGTTGCCCAGGAAGCACCACGTGGAGGTAAGTCTATCGCACACCCCAGAATAGGTAATTAAAAGTTAAATTTATTCGTGCTACCAAGAATACTGTCTTACGATGAGTCAGCAAATAGAAGAAGAGATAGAGAAGTAATTGATGGTCTTTGAAGGTATATCCGATACCAAGGCTACTGAATGCACAAAAAGGACGTACTCCTTCGTAAGGTGTCATGGAAAGGGATCAACAACAAGAAACCCTACCAAATTGCCCATTTCCTCCGCTTGCTGGTACGATTACAGAAGATCTGCCTCGGATTCTTGAGCGGAGGATAGGTAAGAGCCATTACTGTTACTCCAGATTTAAACTAGAGCGTAGTATGCATTCTAAGAACATTGGAACATCTAACCCAACGGCCCACAGCCTTACAAGAGTCTGATAACAAAGATTTGTTCTGTACTTAGTTCATATCCTATGCATATCAAAAAAAGGTTTAATATGCAGTAGTGGATTATTTTAAACCAATGTGAGACAATATTCCCACAAACAAGTAACGTTTCTAAACTGGTTCGCAGCAGCAATGGCTCATTGCTCTCGGATCAAATTGTTCAATTTTATATTTTGTATCATGGGGTGTGGGATAGACTTACCTCCACGTGGTGCACCCTGGGCAACGTATACACATACGGCAAAAAAGTCTATTAACTGGCAGTTGACTTCTCACTTCTAACTACCATCACCTCACTCTATGCCATATTTGACTACATCCACAGTACTCAGCTCACCTTTTTCTATTTTGGTGTTTGTCTCTTACATCTTTGAAACACTCTTCTGTTCACCCCACCCCCTCTCTCCACCTTTTTCAATTTGATGTTCCTTCCCCTCTGTGAATCCTGAAGTCAACTAAAGGGCTAATGATAACCATCAAGACGCCTGCCATTTGATATAAATAAATATTTTGCATCACTTAACAACATTAAATTTTATTATCATCTATCTAAAAGTTTTCCATTTATTGGCTAGGTCGACTGCCATGATGTTGCTGCGGTAAAATTAGTATGGGCTTTGAAGGGTACTAGCATAATCGGTTACGCTTGAATTCGGTGAACTCCAGAAGATAGTCCTCTTTCAAAGGGATCAGTTATCTGTTATTCATCATCACGAATTCACCGGAATTAAAGTTATCTTGGATGTAAAACAAGCCTCATCGACTCGCACTCCATCTCGACAACACATGCACTACCGTTTAGCTCCCTTTTTCGAGCAAAATCAAATACAATTCCTTTCTTCAACCACAATAATGTTGCATATGCTGTGGTTACTAAGCATTTGCCTGTTGATTTTAGCCGGTGTGAGACGATACTCACATCAGGAAGTACCGTTTCGAGGCCGGCTATATTAATTGGAAAGCTCATATGACATTGCCTCGTGTATTTCATCATATGAAGACAGTGCATCGGCAAAATATTCTCCTAAAATCACGGTCACTGCCTACAGCCTCCTAATTACAATCAAGTTGGCTCTGAAAACCGACAGGAGCCACGGCACATCCATTGAGCTATCTTTCCACTTTACAGCCCCGTGTCCCCAATTTTGTATTGAATAATGGGACCTTGAAGTCGATGAACACGGGAAAAAGTTCATACTAGAACATGAATGGCATTTACTGTTTCATTTTTAGTACATTAATCTTACTTACTAACAATTATATACATTTGATCAATGTGTTCAACCACAGAAAAGAAGTGTTTTAATATCAATGAGTGCGGTGAAAATGCTATGCACGAAAAATACCTGATCAACTTAAACTCCACTCAGTACGGTGAAACATAGTACTATCTCTGTACTTATATTACTAAAATTAAAGAAGCATTTCATTTTTTTTCAAAGTCCATTTAGGAAGGCGCTTTCTAAAGCTTATCTTGAAGAGAGTAACACCATGGCCAACCCTGGTGTCACCCACTATATTAACTAGGCAGTGAATTCGTGAAAGAATTTTCCGACAAGCGCATCATGCACTATAAAAATGACCCGGAAACGATTAATTTAGAAATTAATTTAAAAAACAGAAATAAGATCAAAATGAAACGACTAGATTACCTTGAAAAAAAATACGGAAAACTGTTAATTTTAATAATAGCAAGCTAAAATAGGAATAATAAAAGCAAAATTACAACAATGCATATAAACTCACCAAGACGATACTGTTCCTTTAGTCGGTCAACAAAAGCCGACTGATCTCCAGAGACCCAAATTCTTGGAGGTTCAACAATGTCTACAGAGAAGGAATCTGCCAGGAAGTCTACCCCTACTTCACTACCGCCTAAAAGATAGAAAATAGAAGGTAAAGAAGAGCTAAGATAATAAAATAGTTTAAAAAACAGCAGACCCTGTTGCGCAACAAGCCGGTCAAATTCAGCGAGTGCGTTTGCAGTTTCATCAGTCGCATTAGCATCATCCACAGGTTTTTCTCTCACCTAAGATGTGAAAAAGGGAAATGCGAAAACAAAATGTAACATAATAAATAAATAACTTATTTTAAAAGTGTATACGGTAAGTGCACCGTCGAGCAACTCAGTAACTGCGTTTTCAGCTGCTTCTAGAAGGATTTAGAAGATCATAAAAGCATATTAAGCGAACTAATTGAAAGTGAAATGAGCACATACGCACCCGTATCTTCATTAGCAAGAGGAATGCCAAGCAACTCCTTCACCTTTAATGCGCGCATCTCATTTGAAAGGTTGTTCATGCCAATTCGAGTAAGATAATCCTTCAGACGGACACGCTCAGCATGACTTAATTCGTCAGCTTTGCATGAAACGTCTCCATCTTTAAGTAGATTGTCAGTTCGAGATCCATGAGGATTCTTAAATGTTAAATTCTTAAAACGTTCCTGCTGCAAAGCATATTCCAACATCTTTATACGACGCACGAGATCACTTTTTAAATTTTCACAACCAATTTTCTCATTTTGAAGAAATGTTATTTTAGCTTGCAATTCAGCCCTTTCGAACTCCCAGCGAGATCGTTCAATTGACATTTTAGTCCATTCGCTTTGAAGAAAATTAAGGATTCCATAAATGCTATAGTCAGGTTTTTGACAATCGAAAGTGAGTTCTTCAGGTCCGGAGGTCTTCTGATTATATTCGAAATCAGAACTATCATTCTTTTGAACATAACCCATAGACTCCATAACTGGGCACTGATGGAGTAAACAATCAACGAAATCCTGGCCAATGACAGTCTTAATAATTCCATAGGTAAGGTAGGTGTTTTCTTACCATCAGATAAGTCCATTTAGGAGTAAATGTAAAAGTATTTTCAGATTTAAGCCACAAATTATTTTTATTTTTGAGTTTGGAAATTTTGAACCAAATTGTGATTAATGTCAGCAAAATAAAAGTATTAAGACTCATTAATGGAATATTCACAAAGCAGTAACTAAACTATGAAATAAGAAATCAAAATAATTTTTAAAAATTCATAATAAACTGAAATTGTTGATTCTAGCCTTACGTTAGTTATATGTAAATATATTTTCTCAGTATGATAGCCTGAGGACTAAATTGCATTATATATGAGTGCCAATCAATAAATCAAGCAAACTAGGACAGACTAGAATATCCTCAATTATCATACCATATAATAATTAATGAGTGAGTAACCATTTAAAGCCTGAAAATAGTTAAATAAATTCGTATTTGTAAGGTCTTAATTTGTGCCTTTTGATTGCTTTAAGAGGATTTTTTGTGTCGGTCAATCTTGTTTTAAAAAAGACCTAACCTGACTCTCAACGATAATCTTTAAAGCGTAGAAGCGTATTATAACAGTTCACATCCTTATCTATATATATAAGTTACTATGCAAATGTTGTTGATTTCTCACGAATAGAATACGAGCTCTGTGAAAATTAAATAACAACTTTGGAAACAATTTAAAATATCAATGACGGATTTAGCGTCCCTTTATCGCATTTAAGTACAAATCCCTATAAGCACCGATTTTATGAAAAAGATCCTTGATAAAGATTGACAAAAGTTGGAGATACTAATTAAGTAATCCAAAACTATTAAATCATTAAAATCTACGAAACTTCAGTTCGGTGTTCTGTTCTTTACACTCATTTGCGTTTTTACTAAAAATTAATGGTTGCCAACATATTTAGATAGTCTACACCCGTTCATATAACGCGTCTGTGTCACACTAAAATGTTACGAACTAGTTATACGACACATATTTTCGTTTATCACATACCGTTTAACCAAGATACACAATCTGATTTAAAGCAGTACATTATATGTTTCAAGTTCATTGACAAACTGAATTGCCGTAAATAAGTATATCCGAATCTCTACTCTAGAGGAAAGAAACTCTCCATTCTGATTTTAATTTATCCTTCATCACCTGCTCTTCAATGATTATTCGATGAATTTACGGGATAGATCTAATTTGAAATATCTCGAACAATTTACTCTGGACTTATTTAGATACTTTTACAGAATGCATACACACAAAATTATTTAAATTTTAAATGAACACTCAACATTTCGTAAGATAAAATGTGCGACTTCACATATTATCTTTATTATTATTTAAAAATATTTTATATTTGTAGGAAACATTTAAGTGGATCATAAAATTAAATATAATATTTTTAAATTTTCATATTTTAAATAAAACTTTCGACTTGGTATGACTGATCTTTTATTACTGTAAACAATTAAGAATTTGTTTGTATCCATCAATTTTATTTCTCTCGAACGTATATTTGAATGGGAGCTTTTCAATTATTCCCTAGCTTATAGACATTTGTCGCGTAATATTCTTATCAGCAGAATGTGTGCTGTGCGTAGACCATTACCACTAAACCTCGGTGAAACTCGACGCGTTCCCGGTATCATACTGCCCGTTGAAATAGGACCTAGCACACAGCTGAGCAATCGGACAGATGTCATAATCAATGGTCATAAGGTCACAGTAGAAGCAAAAGACCTAGAAGAAAAGGAGGAATTAGGTGAGATTGCATTTAATGTTGCATTTGTCTATTTTTACACGTGTGATTTTGATAAGTTGTTTTCAAACCTGTTTTTTTCCCTAAAGTGGCCCCCATTACTCTTTTTGTAGTGCTTCTTCATCTAATATAAATTTTACTGCTCTTGGGAAGATTTTTAAACAACCTATTTTATTAAGTACTTTTATTTATATTTAAGGTTTTTCTCTAAATCTGGATTTCTTACGTTTTCGAATTTATACAATATTTATTTTTTATCTTTTTCTCATTTGATATTTGTTTTCTAAGTTGATTTTATTATATGGAGATTTATTAAGTTGCATAAAATTTTGATATTTGATTAAAATTGTGTATGACTACTGCAACATAACGCTCTTACTATTTCGTTTTATTCTTTGAACAAAGCCATGTTTAGCGTACATGTTTCTGACATATTTTATTCATTCTTTAGGTTTCGTAGAATTTGAGATTGATTATCTATTTCAGAATTCTGATCATTTAGCGTACTAATTTTTCATGCTTTCTTATTTTAATGAATTGTTAGTTTGGTGTCTGGTTTTTCCCACTGTCACATGTTATAGTCAGCAAATCGATTTTACTACCATTTCTTTGTTTATTACTTACTTGCATTGCTTTGGTGTTCAGCCTCTTGTTATCATTTACTCTGCGTCAGATGCCTATGTATTCCAACCTAGAACCAGTAGAGTCTAAAAATCACACCTACTGAGGGTTTATTGTATGAAATCAAATGACAGCTGAATGTATCATGTTTTGATAGACTTCCTATACGTTATTATTCACCTTTCCAATCCCGTACGTGTTCCATCCTTGACGAATATCTAAATTGTCTATATGTTTTAATGCTTAGAATCCTATCGATCCTAGGCACCTGTATCAAGTATGAATTCATTTTACCACCATAATTTTTTGCTATGGAACTTTTTCATTTTTATCGTTTAATGAGATAAATATTTTGCTTTACTTGTTTATTAGGGTATTTTCTCCATTCTTTCGTTTTTTATTATTATATTTTCCTGTCACAGGAATTCGAACTAGACTTAGTATTTGCATTTCACTCACTACTACAAATTATCTACGAATCTTGGGGTTATTTTGGCCTTTGTGGCCAAACTGCCGCAGACAAAGAAAAATATGCCCATTTAGCCTTCTCGGTTCATGACTTTTTTAGCAAACGTTTAGGTGTTCTTCCACGAAGTATTTTGGATTTGATTATTCCCCTCTTTCTTTGAATACTTGGCTTTGTATATAACTTTTGGGCTTCAAATTTCTATGCAGTTCTCGACACCCGACTTTATTTCACACCTTGGCAATGTCTGTTTGAGGTACCCTATGATTGCTTATCACAATTTGCTACCTGTTTAAGCCCAGTCTCCCACGCAACTCCAGTCTATTAGATCACAATTCATAATGTCTACTGAAATTTTTCCGATGAGTAATGTACACGTGCTCCCTCTTTTCTCCGTTGATTATTTATTTGCATTTATTTAATTTTCCATCTTTTTTGTTTTTAGGGCATTCTAGTTTTAAATTATATTATTCGATTGTAGGTGTTAGAATAAAAGAAGTTGTGCTAGATGTTTTCATTTACGTACATTAATACGTACACCGTTATAACTGCATATTTCCGCAAACGAGTACTTTGATACCAGAAAGTGTGCTTTAAGACTATGCGTCTGGTTGCGATCAGAATCTGATGGTCATTTATAAATATTTTTTCCACATACGGAGCATTTATTAGTTTATTAATGATTGGTTCAAACTGCTATTTGCCTTTACGTTATTTTAACGTGTTTGACCTCTGAGCTCGGCACACATTTATTAGCAAACGCGGCAAACGGCCCATTTTGTTACAACATAATGTGGGTTTCTCATCAGGGGGACTTAATGGTTCACCCCCCTGCCCAAAGTGAATGGAAGTAAACTTTTCTATTTCATGGGCGTACCGATGGAGTAATATCCATGTTGGAAGTCAGAAGATCGATTCTCATCAGAGCAGTGATGTGAATGGCTAGTTCCGTTTTTTACTTCCTGTCGACAGTGGGAGTATTAGAATTCGAATTTCTTGAAAGAGCGGCTCCTGCTACCTTCCGTCTTCCGAGGTCGATTGATGTTAATCTATTACATTGGGCACCGCGTGCAAAACTGCGGAGGACCCTACTGCAAATTTTTAGAAAGACAAACGAGTTATGTGGGTGAAATCGCTTCATTTGTAAAGGGTACCAAGGCTACTATTTTCCCTGATGGGATTATAAACGTCTTAGGGCTTTTCTTGTTCCAATTATTGACAATTAATTTTCTCTTGTCTTTTGCTTTCAGGTCGAGGAGAATATGCTCGAGTTTACCGAATGTACCATGCTCCAAGCAAATCCCAATTTGCTGTTAAAAGACTCCCTTTTGAAGTGGAAACATCAGATCGGTCCCGTATTCTCAACGATTGGAATGTGAGCATGAGAACCTCAACTTGCCCTTACGCCGTGCTCTCCTACGGAGCCCTCTCAGTAGGTTGCGAGTTTTGGGTGGTTATGGAGCTTATGGACGACTCTCTCGATAAATTTCTTCAGAAGGTTCGTCTTGTATTTCCTTTAAAACAGTTAAAATGTTTATGGTAATCTTGACCCTAGGAAGCTTTCAATATTTATATTATGCTTGATTTATATTGTGATTGGGCTTTATCGATTTTGCTTCTAAAAGATAATTAGCTTGAGATAGGGTTGTCTCTATGTATCTTTGCCATCATGACCTTGTAAGATAAGTGAATTCGCCTTTTGTTGTAAAGACTTTTCATAAGCACTTAACGAATAAGTTTTACCTTCCCTTGTATTTTCCTACTTTACAAACATCTTCTACCTTCTAAACCTCATATCTAGATCTACGTTGATTTTAAGGGTAGTGATGACACCTCTCTTCCTTTTGTACCTACAGTCTGTTGCCCAGTTAACGCAATTCTAGTAGCTTAGCTGGTTATCATGATGGAATGTATTCTGACTAATAATAAACTTTGATTTAACTATCCTTAAGCTCTACAATAGTCAGATACTACCTCTTCATCTTCCAAATGGCCTTCTAGCTAAACTCGTTCTTTGCTTACGAGATCGACCTCTGGGCCATCCTAAGTTGTATGAATCGTAGACGATTACTGAACTCTATCTAATTGTAATGCTTAAGCCTTTAAACAACCAATGCTCCGTTTAATTTCTGACCATCATAGTTTTATTTAAATCCTAATGGACAAAATCTGTCTATCCGATATTGATACCATGACCTTACACTCCTTAAATCATTTTTCTTACTTGTAAAAGATCATTATTCTGAATTATTTTTTTGATTTATATGCTTTTAAAACATTCTCATTGCATTTCCACTTGCTACTTACCTGTTTCTCTGTGACTCGTTAATCTAGGTCTACCAGCAAGGTAAGACAATCCCAGAAAACCTCCTGGCCTACATTGCCTTTTGTGTGGTCACGGCTCTGGAGTACCTACGGAATGATCTCGTGACTATGCATCGCGACGTCAAACCCTCCAATATCCTCATTGACCGTGCTGGGCATGTCAAGGTATACAATCAAAGTCCCTTTATTTTCCCTCTTTTTATCCCACTTCCTGGGTCCATAGCACGTGACGCTAAGAAGTAGCTTTAAAGGACTTTCTTTGAAAATGAGCATTAGTATATGCTAGGCCACTTTTTATGATCACATCTGCATAACTGGCTCTTAACGACTGATAAACAGTGTGACCAAGATAAAAAGACGTGTTGATACGTACTGACCTGTGTATCGGAGTTCATGGTAAATGTTTTCAACATAGTCATGAATTATCTAATTTTTAGCACGTTGTTATTCGTAATATCCTGTATTCATTGCTTATAAAAATAAATATACCTTTTTAATATATCCTTCTGTATTCGCGCGGGACTTCTTTTACCCTGGCCGGTAAGTATGTATCATTGTCATTAATCTAGACAACAGCACGGATTTACGTCTTATCTCTATAAATTCTTTGTGAATTTATCGTCTTTGTATTTTGAAGTCAGATAGGTAAAATAATAATTTAAGCTTTGGATTTTACCTAGTGTCTGCTTATCTTCTATTGCGGAAATTCCAAATTTCATACATATTCTTGTTTAGAAGTTTATATATTTGGTTGTTCATTTCTTTACATTCCTTTTGTTCAATAGTCTACTCCAAGTAAATGTATCTCCTTTAGAAAAATCTGTCTTGCCTGCTTCAAGTAACTAACACGCATCACTTCTCCGTTTCAGGTCTGCGACTACGGAGTCTCGGGAGAACTGAAGAACTCCATGGCGCAAAGCAACACCGGTACCTGCCGTTATATGGCTCCAGAACGTATTGATCCCAGTCGGAGCTCTGGCGGTGGTTTTCGTATCCAAGCAGACGTCTGGAGTTTGGGTTTAACCCTCCTTGAGCTGGCCACCGGCCAACATCCATATGAAAACTTTGTAAACCAATTCGAACTGCTCAAGCATGTAAGCATTTTATTCAGTAACCTGATGATCAGAGTGACTGAATGTGCGCATTTCTCTTCTCTGAATTTAGAGGACTTGTTTAATTCAGTCGTATGCATAATTGTTGCATTAATCATTCCACAATGCCTGATCATATGTTTCACGAGTGGTTTCGGGTTTGGTCTTGTCACTTCTTCCATGCTTTTCGATTAGCGCGATCTCTATCAAAGTCCAAGAGTTCGTTTCGTCCCTGACTTTATGTCGAGTTGTTTGTGGATATGTGTAGAAGTCGTATTCGGACTGTTACAAACTACCTCTCGCTCTCTTACTCTCGTTATATCTCGCTTCGTTATTGTTTGCTTAATTTTTTCTTGTTCTCATGTCTTTCCATTTACAGGAGTTTGGTCTTTAATCTTCCCTTTGTCAGTCCATTTTGCGTACTTTTCTCCCTTTCGCTACAGATGAAATGAATTTAACCCATCGAAATCGGCGCATCTATCCTTTTGATGTTTTAATTTAGAAACTCCCCTAAAATGTATCCCCCTGAAATGAGGAAATTGTTTGATTTGACTCACTCATAGCTACCTGAGGTATTTAAAAAAAATAGCTCTGTACATCGTTTTTCTCAATGTTGTTAAGAGATTGGAATTATTTGCTAGTAAACTCCTTCTCACTAGTTGGCGCAATTCTCCTTCCTCTTTTTTACTATATTTGAAGTCCGTTGGTTGGAAAGGGGATTATTCCTAATTCGCTGTTAGAGAGTGAGATTGTCCTGAGTATCGCTATGCAATAATCCAGTTAAAATTACTGAATGCGCCATGCATATGATCTCTTGCCAGAATTCGGAACTGTGGAAACTGAAATTACACGATCTAGAAACGTCAGCTGTATACAATGTGTGAAATTTTTGCGTCTTTTATTTTATTTAAATTGCGACAGGTGAAGGAATAAGCATACAATTTATTCAAATGCTCCCTACCGTTCAGCCTTTTATTGTTAGTCGCCATGGTGTTGGCCGGTTGCTGAAACTCCCTCGTTGGATTTACTATTAGCGGGACAGTATTCGTGTCGGTTGATGCACTGGTGGTGTAATAAATAAACAAATTCAGCAACCATTGGTTTAATTACAGTTGACTCAATTATGAGAACTTATTCACATTCGGCTTCGGAATGTCTCAACTCCTCCTACGACGAAAGTCAAGATGAGTTAATCTTTCTTATTAAGTTAGTTGGGAAGAGAACTATGCAATCAAGGTTCACTTCGGGTTCTAAACGTTCTCTTTAAATTGTGCTAGCGTCTTATCTATCAGCATGCAAGTCTTTCAATTCTAATGCCACGGGGTTGGTTCTCGTCATTACCAATCCCCCCCCCCCCCAATGTACGTTTTTCTCCAAGTTACCATCCCTCAACCCAATTCAAGTATTGTTAAATAATTATCTTAGCAATCTGGTGAAATATGTACCCTCAGTTTTACATCTTTTTATTGAGACCGGGTGCTTTAGATGCTACATATCGACTTGTTTCTTATTGCGCCATATTGACTGTTCAGAATTATCATTTTAAATGGAAATACAATGAGTATAGTAGTTTATGAACGACTTCGGTCCTTTTAATACCATAATTATTGTAGAATGCGCGCATATATACTCATTTTAATCGCGAGTTCTATGTCTGGAGCATGGCTGCTCTAATCTACTTCTATTGTCCTAAACCAGACTACGTTAATAGGGTTGATCTAGTTCTGATCACTTTCCCTACGTCTATCTGAGAGTGGTAATTGCAAGTTCTTATCACACTCCGACAATTCCTTTCTATTCGTACAATTGACAAGTTTAGAGCGATTGGTTCTGTAACATAAACAAATCCACAAACAAATGGCTACCCAAGGCTACATTTCTGTCGGCATTTATGTGCGGTTATTAGTTCGCCATTTGCATATAGAATGAGGTTCATTCATGTCAGCGCCAAGAAAGTTTGATATCATATTGGTCATAGCATTTCCCCCTATCGTTGAAAAAAGGAAGGTTATAGGTCCCTTAGTGTCTGTATATATGTGTTACGTGAAATCACCAAAACCACAACGGCTAGTAGTCGTTGTTTTCCTAGTACAGCACCTTACAAACCTGAACTGATTCACGGTAAATGCAATTTTCCTTCTTTTACACTTGCATTAGGAGATTATAGACGAGGGGGGTTGGGAAAGCATCTGTTTGAATTAGCACAGACTCAATTCGCCCTTTCTACATTGTCATTTTCTACCTTGTCATATCCATTGTTTTTTTGTCCTCCGTAATGGTATTGATTTTGAATGTGTTTTGTCGAATGCGTCAAAAATATATTACAGTTTATCGGGATAATCTGTGAGTATTGGAGAGTATTGTATTCTAAAGAAGGAAATCTTGAACAAGGTTAGTAATCAATCCTAATAGAAGCTCAAGAAAAGTGAGTAATTTCGGGTGAGGCTCATAATTTATTTATTTATTTATTTATTTCAAATGGCAGGCATTATGATAGGTATCATTAGCCCTTTAGTTGACTTCGGGCTACACAGAGGGGAGGAGGAACATCCAACTGGTAAAAAGTCGAGAGGGGGAAGAATAATGATTCACAGACGTAAAAGAGACAGACGGACACAAAGGTAGAGAAAAAGGTGAGGTGAATACTGTGGAATTATTCGAATATGAAATTCAATAGGGTCATGGTAGTTTGAAGTCCGAAGTCAACTGCCGATTTATAGACTTTTTTGCCGTATGAGTATACGTTGCCCAGGGTGCACCACGTGGAGGTAAGTCTATCGCACACCCCGTGAGGCTCATAATTAATCATATTATAATCAAATGTTTGAATGAATTATTGTCACTCACGAAATCCTAGAGGTATAGAGCTTACACGATTTAGTTTATTTAAGACTAATGGTGTAGACGGTTAATGTAAGCCTAATATGCTTCCTGGCGATCCAGTTAGTAACTGAAGTGTATAACGATATCACTCTCTTCCACTGTGTAGGTTGTCCATGAAGCGCCTCCAACAATCCCAGCCTCACTGCCCTACTCAGACGCTTTTCGGAACGTAGTCTCCCAATGCCTCGTGAAGGAGGAGTCCCAGCGCGCCAATTACCTCCGTCTCCTCGACTCGCCCTTCCTGCGTTCTGTCAATGTGGAACGCGACGCCGCTCTAATGGCTACGTTTGTTAACGAGATACTTGACCGTCACAGCCACGATAACCAACAGAAATAGCTGAATCACCAATGATATCCCCTCTTATATAGCCACCAAACCCAACAGAAATAAATACTCTTGCGCGTTTCTTCGAATTATCTCCCCTCGTCATCCTGCTACACTACTGAGATAATAGCCTTATTTTATCTCCGGAATCCCCGCCTTTCTTTTTTATGGACCTTTTTATGTTTGACCCTTCCTCCTCTCCCATTAGCACCTGTTTTAAACGCATTTCGCACATGTCATGTCATTTATCCCCCCCCCCTCCCCCTCTCCCAAACACCGCTTTCCCTCGTCCTCCGTGAGTGAGGTTTTGTGAATGAGGCCGTTTGGTCTGCTGCAAAAAAATTGATTATGACAGTAATTAGTTTTGTGTCTTGAGCTTCAAAAATTGATCTGGGACTGTCTGGCATAGCAGCAAGCGACTGAATAGTTGATCACCAGTTTTTACTCTGCGGGAAAGCGAAATCGAACAGCTTGGTTCACCTAATCGGTCTCAGGCTTTTTCCCACGTCACATATTAGTTGACGCTTCGATTCCCTCAGTTTTGTAATTAACAGCTAACAATGTGGCTAATCAACTTCCACACATTGACTCTTGTAAACGGATGGATTTATTCTCAAGAACGTTAAAAGCTATGGGTCCTTCCTGAGTATGTGTAGTTGGAGTATGCGTGCATTCATAATTCACTCAAGGATATTCGTATAAACGTAAATTCCATTTCAGCTCTGCTGGTCGATCTATTTCTGCTTACTTCTTTTAATGAAATCAACTAGCCCATAAACATCCAAACTGGCTTTAATGAACACTCTCAAAGATGGAACTGGAAGCCAAATTTTAACTTTGGAGTGTTAGACGAAGTACTGAGTAAAGTGTGGACACATTGGGGATTCTAGTGCTCCTCATATTTAGACGCCTTCCTCTAAATTAGGCAGTCTTTATGATAGTCACCATTAATCCTTTAGTTGACTTCGGGCTTCACCAAGGGGGGGGGGGGATGGAAAGAAGAGTGATTCGCAGACGTAAAATAGGCAAACACAAAGGTAGAGAAAGAGGTAAGGTGAGGTGAGTGCCGTGAAAGTGATCGAATATGACATAGTGCCGGGTCATGTTAGTTTGAAGTCAAAAGTAGACTTTTTTTGTCGCATGAATACACGTTGCCCAGGGCGCACCATGTACGGGTTTGTCATTCGCTCGCCCCCTCTAAAATAGTTATGTTTAGTTCTAACAGGAAAATACACTCTTACGGCTTTGTCTGGCATATAGAGGTAATTTTCTTTTCACAATTCGTTTCATTTTTTCTAATTGATAAAGTACTTGAAGGACAAAGGGAGAAGTTTGGGAAAAATCTCGCACTCACGAAATAAGGGGAGACGCAATTTCGGTCACATGACATTTAGCATGTCTGTGGCATGCAAACGGCTTGCAAGCGAACTGTCCTCCCATTTGCAACCCTAATCTATCCTTAAGTTCTTTATTTTGCAAGTTTCTTATTTTATCTAATAAAGTGAATTAATCAGTACTTTAGTAGTTAAGGCAAATTTTACATTGATTTGGTACAATTGTGGTGGCCTGATTTTGACATCCACTTTCCCATCAACCTCAGTAGTTAGGGCTAATTAATAACGCGTTGACAGATTCGAGCTGCTCTCTTGAGGTTCTCGTGGATCGCACGAAGCTACACCCTCCAGTCTGTGGTAGTATTTATTTATATCAAATGGCAGGCTTAATAATAGTTACCAATGATCCTTTGGTTGACTTCGAGCTATACAGAGGGGAGAAGCATCAAGGTGAGTAAAAAGGGGAGAGGGGAAACAGAAGAGTGGTTCACAACTGTAAAAGAGGCAGACACAAAAGTAGAGAAAAAGGTAAGGTAAGGCGAGGGCTGTGAAAGTAGTCGAAAATGACAAGAAGTGGGGTCATGGTTGTTTGAAGTCAGAAGTCAACTGCCGGGTTATAGACTTTTTTGCCGTATGAGTAAGGTGCACTACGTAGAGTTAATTCTATCGTGCACCCCGTCTGTGAGATTATAAAATCAACGAATCCCATTTATTATATGGCATCTTTCATGCTTGAAGTTATTCTAACGGGGCTTTTCTCCGGGCCCAGATTTCTAACGAAATAATCGGCCTGAAATCCTGTCCACTTGATCACCAGACAAATCAAATGTGTATCAAAAAGGAGCAACAAAGCTTGCTATACTTTGCGCCAGCCCCCCCCCTCCTCCTCCAACCCCCATGACTCCTAAATGTTTCATCGGTGTCATGACAAAGAGCAGACAATAACAAACTCATCAAACTTTTATAAATAAATCGCCTCCAGATACAACTGAAATACCTCATATTGAATTTTGTCTTGGCTCTCTTCCATATAGATGCTAAGCCGAGCCAGAACTTTGTGCCTTTACAGATAAACTGATAGCAGTTACTTCACAGCCTCTGATATAACCATGATCTCAAAGAAGTTGTGGAAACCATTGGATCCACTAAACCCTATTTGTAATCAGTGCACTGCACTGCGACATTTAGGCAGACGGGGAAAAATAAGGTGTAATGTGACCTCTCGGAATGAAAATGAGTCAAAAAAATTAACACACGTTGCAAATTTTCAATTTAATTTGCTTGGTCTCGACTGGTTTGGTCAACTTGGTCTTTTGAACCTGCACATCAATTGCATTTGTAATTCCGCTACATCCACCTCTTCATCCACACCAAAGATGAATGTCAGCGTAATATTATACGGAGGTCATGACAAATCTAATCACATCAAGGCGACATCAAAACTGCTGCTAAATAATCAGTCAGCTTTTCGCCCTAAATGGCCAGTTCAGGTAGCCTCATTGCCCACCCCTAAATCGGCGAGGTGTTTTAAACCAGCTTCTTATTAACAAATGGGGGGGTGCGCGATAGACTTACCTCCACGTGGTGCACCCTGGGCAACGTATACTCATTCGGCAAAAAAGTCTATTAACTGGCAATTGACTCAAATCTACCGTGACCTCACTGCATTTCAAATTGGAATACTTTCACAGTACCCACCTCACCTTTTTTCTACCTTTGTGTCTGTCTGTCTCTTTTACGTCTGTTAATCATTATTCTGTCCCCCCATCTCGACTTTTTGCCACTTTGGTGTTCCTCTTCCTTTCTGTGAAGCACGAAGTCAACTAAAAGGCTAATGATACCTATCATAACGCCTGCCATTTGAAATAAATAAATAAAAATAAATATTTTTCAACAAATAATGAATAACATGATGTCGAGCCTCTTCGTTACTGCTGCATTCCTAGGCGACGTTTTCGTTGCAGGCCGGTCTAAGCATAGGCTTCAAGAACGCGTCATTGTACACTTTCAGCGTATAAAGGAATATGTGCCTCATTTTCGAACTCATAAAGGCCCATTCTTTTAAAATATTTTTAGTGAAAATTAGCATTAAAGTGACACACTCAACGAAAAGTAACACATTCCTTTTACTGTCCATTTTCAACTACTATCACAGTATCTTTCTGCCAACACAACATAATATTCGGGCTCCTAAAAATGAATATCCCAATGAATATCCAATGTGAGAAGGTTTCCGCAGACCAAAAGGGTGTGGTCACTTCGTATATGCTGATTTTTCATTACGACCTGAATATACCAATTGTAGATGCTGGAGATGCTTTGAACTACAGTGTTGGCGCGTTGCTTACATTTGCCTACTATCTTATAGACGCGGTGACAATCTGCCTTTAGTTAGCTCATACTCAGTGTTTGCAGATCGCTTTATTATTCGTCAGCACTCTGAAGGATAAGAAGGGATCGATAGAATAGATTCTCGACGCGTGTCTTTTAATGAATTGGACGATTTCACAACCCGCTTTAAACGAAAGCATTCCTGGCGATACAATTATGAAGTGAAAATCCCTTATAATCCACAAAAATCTACTTTCAAATGACTCAACCTTCTCCAGTTCATCTGCAAGCAGCAAGAAGAGCACAAACAATGTGGCACATTGTTGGAAGATATCACCTGAGTTCAACGTGTATTGAGACACTTCGATTTGCATCAAAATTAAACTGGGTACGTGCCAACTGGGTATTGTCTTGGGTGTCCAAGACCTCCTAACTTTTGGAATTAATGAAACTACGAAAATTAAATCCGAAAATCAACAAAGCTTTTTACGAATCAGGTTCAAGCAACATTTAAAAGTTACGTTGAAAACTCAGCAGGTATTGAGTTGAAAGCAATGCTCTGTCATTAATAATTTACCAATGTTATATAATTGTTGAAATGTACTTGAATAGTGGGTAATTGTCTGGTAGAGTTTAAAGTACACTACTGAAACTTGATACTGAGGTTGAGTTTGGAGTCTACTTCACGTGACGAATAAATTTATAATGTTGGGGGGGGGGGGGGGTTGATAGACGGTTTAAATTCGATTTAATTAAGCTTAGTACTTGGGTGGAAGATTTAAAAATTTATTTTCGATTTGAAATTAAAGTGTACGAAAACCTCTGATTTTAAATTGAATTATTAGCTAAAATTGTGGTCCTTATTGAGAATATTAATTCCATGCTATTTTCTAATGTTCAATGTCAGCATCATTAACATCACGGTCTTGATAATGGGTAGAATCAGTTGATGAATCGACAAGCGCTTCTTCCCATGCAACAGTTGCAAAACTGTATATTGTATTTCAAATTTTTCACTTTGAATTCGCTTTTATAGTTGCGTTAGTTAGTTAGTGAATTATTCACAAGCAAAAAATTTATTGGCAGATTAATTTTTCAAATATACGCTTTCAGTACTCAGGGTGAGTGGACTAAGAAGGAACAACTACCAGGGGGCAGAAATTAGACTTCAAATAGTAAAACCTCGATAATTACATTCCATCGAATTATTATCTAATATAATATTATTATTAAAATTCCAATTGTGGGAGACATCTGGGGTCGGTTAGCAAGAACATTCAAAAGTTATGGAGCGATGAGTAGGAAGGCGCTGAAAACACCAACGAACTATTAAAGTTGTGTATCCTC